ACTCCGTTCAACATCAACAGATGTGATGGGCGCATACTTAAAATGAACAAATTCATTTGCTGTTAGTTCAGCTGGTAAACTGTATTTTGAACTTTCATTTTCATAAAGTATTTCAGCGATTTTCAATATTATTTTGGTATCTAGATTTTTCCTCAAAACACATTTCATTTTATTTTAATAATTTCTCCGACATGGTTTTATAAATTTTCCAATGATTCTTCAACTTTCTGTATGATTTAAAGAGATTCAGTCATTAATAATCCACTGGTTTATTATACAAATTGCAAATGTATGTTATTGCAACATTTAACTTTTGGCATTTTAGAGAGAATAAAACAAGTATACTAAAATAATTCGATAACACTGTAGTCTACATGGTACCTGTGGTACAACCTGTAGTAAACCATCGGGTAGCAAACACCTGCTAACATGTATTGATACTAATGTGGCAAAGCCGAAACGGAAACCAATATCAATACTTATTCGTATTGATATGCAGTTTCCACGGAACAGAGCCTATTTTCGATATCACAGAAACAAGTTTTCTTGTTCACATCCGTCAGAATCCCCATCGACCTTACTCTTATCCTAAATGGATGCCTATAAATACAGTATCCATTTACCCATACATTCAGAATAATAGAATGATTTAAACTAGTGTTAACTAATTACTCCGCTTACTGCACCGACGCTCATCTGGTCGTGAAGCTCGCGCGCCTCACATCGCCGCCAGCTCTGAGAGTCAATCTTTATTATTCTCGGGTAGAACTTAAATACTCTGTCCTCACACTTTCAATTATAAATTACCATCTTATTTGTATTAACCACATATTATATATATATTATTTTATTCATTATCATACATATCTGTATAACTTTAAACCATCGTGTTTTGTCATTTAAACACCTTCCAACAACTCTACATCACAGACGTGAACCGTTCAAGTATTTTTTCGTCAACGGTGTATTGTGTCGTCCTTTTGCAGGCCGGCCCACTACAAACCGCACAACATACACTAAAGATTTTATAATGTAAGTCAATTTATCCTATCGACATTACCACACTATCGCGATCGTCACTCATTGTTCGTAAACATGATTATATTGATTAATAAACGTAGAATTATAGTAAAAATAGAGAAATAATAAAGATAAGTTACTAAACGTTTCATATTTTCCCATTTTTGTTAATTGTGGAACCAACAATGCCTACCTATGGGTTTATATTAAATTAAAATTATTTTTTTGGCGAAATATTCATTTATTTACAATACTTATCAGAATATGCATTTATTCATAAAAATCCCTAAATATGCAAAAATATGCAAAGTAAAATTGATTGTATCTGGTTCTATGTCATACAAAACGAATTTATATCTAGGTCTGCAATGTGGACGACTAAAATAAAAAATATACATAAGTCATAAACATCCTAACCATAAACATAAATTAGAATTCAAAAATATTAGCTAGGAAAAATTTTATTGGCATGAACAAAGTGAAACTTTTTGTATGTTTGTCTGCATAAAGATTTTATAATGTAGGTGCACTTGTATAATTGTTTTAATATAATGATGCACAAATACATTTTAATATGTAAGAAATTATGTTTATTAGCGATTTGATACACAACTGGATATTTGCGCGTTAGAGTAAATGTAATGCATAAAAATGAATATATATATAGAAAATAACAAAGACTGATAGTCTACAAAATCATGTGAGCTCAATTAAATTTCGTTTGTATAACAATAAATGTACTTATAACACTATTATTTTGTTTGTTAAGCGAATTTTCGTTTATATACCATTATGGCAGTATGATTAAATTTAATTCAAGTTAATATACTTTCAAGATAACTAAACAGTCTATATTATCAATAACTAAAATCTTATAAAGGCAACTAATTATAATCAGTGGTGCCGTTGTGATTAGCGAGACCCTGTGCGAATGATATGTATCACATATAAGCCCTCTACGGAGGTACAACTATCCTGACTAAAATAATTGGTAGTAAAATAATAGGTATAGTGTGCTAAAATAATAATAAAAATATTAATACCGTAAAATGGTACCTATCAAAAAACTGTGTGCATTTAGTATGCTACCTTATAGCAAAGTCTATTTCAAGACATTTATACTGATTTTTTAACATTATATTTAAAAAAAGTAAACACTGCTTGAGCTTAAAATGTTAATTATGCAAAATTAAGAAATGGCAATATTTTATACTAAATTATTAATTATTTAAAGTCAAACGATTTTAGAAATTTAAAATAAAATATTTTTCGTTTAAAAATATAATTATATTAGGTTTTAAAGGTTGTTCGAAAATAAAAATAAATTATATAAAATTGTGATTATTCATATTCTTCTTAATTTAATTGAATTTAATAGACAAAAAACACTCTACTATAAATAAAATAATACCCTAAAATGTCCAAGAAAGAGAACTTGAAAAATTGCCAAAATGTCTATTTAAATAAATGAAAAAATTTAATTTAAAAAAAAATTATAATTATTATTATTAAAGATATGGATAACTGGGTATCAGAGTAATTGTAAATATGAATTGTAAAATAATAAACAATAGTAAAGATTTAAGTTTAAATGTAATTAAAGTTTCATTTACAAATAAAAAATTAGTAGTTGAATAAAATTATTAAAAATAAATTAAGAAGTAATAAGAAAAAAACACATAAAAAATACTCGAATTGTTCATTGTTTGTTTGAATGAAAATCTCTGAAAATAAAAAAAATAATAATTTAAATAATTTCTGAATAAAAACAAAATGTTTGTTATTTTTCGCATAATTACCCTGACTGTATAATTAAAATGTGTCTGAGGTTTTCAAACCAAAGACAACGACGTCAGTCAGTTAATACATTTTTGTGTGATACACAACTTTGGTTGAGATCTTATAGGTCCATACTTAAGTAAATCATGTCATTAGTAATTAAATTCTCTGGAATATCTTCTACTCCTTTTCTATCTAGCATTTCAGAGGTGTTAGATATAATTTTAAATCCATTATTCTTCATAATGACATCCCATTTTGGTTGTTATTGCTCGTCATATTTTATTTTGGGTTTTTTTTATTAAAACTCAAACAACAATCAATGCATTTGAATGATTCTTATAATAATTTTTTTGAATATTTAAACAAGCCTCTAGTTGTATGAAAACTACAAAAAATGTTCTATATTATGAAATAATAATGTAAAAAAATGTTTTAAAAAAATTAAAAATTAAAAAAAATAATTAATAGTTTATAAGTTTATAGTTATAAGAAACTATATAATCGGAGAACATACGAATATTTTCATCCAAATACAGATTCATCGATATTTCTCTATTTATAAATGTATTGTATTTTCAGTTACTCATTGTATAAAATATTAATTTATAATAATAAAGATGACCACTAATCAAATAAATATAAAATCCGAAGTATAATAAAGTCTATTTTAAAATGTTATGCGTAGTATGTACTCGTATCTACCAATTTTTGTTATAACTTGAAACAATTTATATTTAATTCTATAATAATATATTAATAATACGGAATACGCAAAGCCCATATGTGAAAGAAATGCGCGAGGCTTTGGGTGGTTTCACTTTTTGTACACATATCAACAATGATTATAATATTTAAAATTCATTATTCTAAAAATTAATTTATTAAAGAAGTAAGATTTGATATTGTTTTTATTTATATAAGATAAGTATACGACAGTATAAGATACACGAGCTAATGCCTAACAGCCGAAAGTATGTGTACAATTATATGTTGTACGTAAACACTCCGGACATTATGAAATATTAACCTGTCCTGTTGCGCGTACACATACAGTTCCTAGATATAATTTACCAAATCGGAGCACACACACACACAAACATATATGTACATAATTTTTATATGACTTTCACAATTTACTTTAATTTCAGCGTATGAAAAAGAAAATTGAAAAGTTAAGGTCACAAACTGCCGCAATTTTAGTGACGAATTTTATTATTATTATTATTATATAAATGTGTTGTGGAGAAAACTGTAAGGCGCGCCCAAAATAAAAGAATAATTTTTAATGTAATCCTTAACCTCTCCCTCTGAACATATATAATGCGGGTGCTGCAAGGTCTATCCATTCCACTAACTCGCCGTTGCTCGTATTCACATTCGAAGAGTGAATTATTGATGTGATGTATAGGAAAAGTGAATCGCGCAAGCGGCACGAGAGAAATAATAATTTAAAACGACCGGCGGAAAAAATAACAATAACAAACGAGTTGTGCGATAATATACAAACTCCCGTATACGAGTATAACGATATTACTGATATGTTTACGACCGTGTTGGTTTATCCTGTGTTGAAAAAAAGCAACGAAAAAAGTCCTCAAACAATGCGATCGGACGAATATCGCATACTATATGTGGATTATATATGATAATAATTATAATATCAATATAAATCTGTGCGAATACTGCACACCGTCGTGTCCTGGATTTTGTATAACCATATAATATACGAGTACTAATTTAGAATCTTTGGCGCGGAGTACTCGCGCGTGTGCACGCGTATACGTTTTGAGATCAACGACGGCCGGGGAGCCGCTCTAGCGTTCGGCGTCCGCGTGGCGCGGCGGCGGCAGCCGATGTGTCAGGACAGGGACGCCGCCGGTGGACAACGGCCGACGGAGGCGGCGGCGGCGATGTTGATTGGCCCGCGGGCGGAGTCACCGGCACAGCGGTACGGTCGGCGGATAGGCGTGGCCGCGGCCACAAGGACGGGACCAAACGCGCACGCACACACGCACGGTGACGGACGCACACACGGACACCTCGTATACGAAGGACGGTTGGGCGGCGGGTCGCGGACCGCGTGGGGCGGGCACGAGAGCGCCTGCGCGCGCACGTACCCGCAGGCACCGCGTACCAGCGCTACGATCGCGGGACCGTTTCGGCCGCGGTGACGACGGCGTTGCCTTTAGAGTCTCACGCGCACTCCCACCGGGACGACTATAGTCGCTGTGCGCACGGGTCCGCGAATTGTTTTCCCAAATTTTCCCATTGCCGTCTGCTCGCGCTACGGCACGTACACGTACACTCCGACCACGGTTTCTGTTGCACAACACGTATCGCCGTTATTTCTAATATCGTCCACACAAAATATTATTGTATTCTACCGGTGACGCGCACGCGGCCGCGTCCGGAAAACACTCCGTTTTTTTTTCTTCTCACTTTTCCACAAGTATTTCCGATATATATTTTTTTTTACCCTCCGACCGCGCACAGGTTACATCCGTTTTCGCGTCGCACACAACACTATATTCAACGATGTCATCACGCGTGCACGTGACGGTTTGACGACCGCTTGCAGCACTGCATCTGCACACCGCGCGCTCACGGGCCGAGATCTCCGCGCCCGCGACGTGCCGCACGTGTACGTTCGTTTACCGGAAACGCGCGTAGAAAACATCGTCACCCGACCGGACACAGCGCGCACGCAAGTTGACGGACACGTACAGGACAGCGGTGGGCCCGGAAGGCATCACGGTGGTGTCGACGGAAGAAGACGGACGGACGGTGGCCGGCGCCGGCTACTGGACGGGCGGCGCGACCGGCGGCGACGCCGACGCCGACGCCGCGGTCGCGGCCCCGTGGCAGTCAACGTTGGGCACGCTGGGCGGTGGCGTCGTCGGCAATGTCGGCAACATCGGTAACGGCGGCGGCGGAAACGGCGGCGGCGGCGGCGGTGAGCTGGATCCCGTGGCCGCGTGGGGCCGTAAGCTCTACGCGACGCCGGGCAACCATCACCGAAACGCCGCCGCGGCCGGTCTCATGTTCGGCCTGCACCACCATCACCAGGAGACCGGTTCGCCCGGCGGCATTTCCGGACTGCACCATCACCACCATCACCACCATCATCACCAGGTCCGTGGCCCCGTCACAGGGCTCAAAGAAGAACCGCTGGCCAACTCGCAGTTGTCCGTCCCGCGGTCGTGGATGCAGCCGTCCATCATCGATCAAAGCAGGTAAACAATTAATTCTAATATAATTCTAAATATTCTATAACGGCTTTAAATTTTTTTTTTTTGTCTGTATTTCTAATAAATACGGCGACATGATAGTAAAAATTCCCGCATCGTGACTTTGATAAGTCGAAAAAACTTCGATGGTTTACGAGACACGCACGATTATTATTCGGGGTAAAATTTTAAATCCTTTTTGATTTTTCATGCGTCCGATAATGTTTATCTCGATTTATCTCGAACTGTCAAAGTTCTAAATGCAACATTAAAATGCCTGTATCATACGTATATAATGTACATTTTTTCACTTTTCGAATACTGTTACGTCAATACGCGATATAACATTTAATTGTATCAATACCCGACTGTTGCGGTACTTACGCCCGACCTGAATAATAAAAAATATCAACCGTTGGACAGTGTCGGTAATGGTCCGACATGTGCATATTTAGTAAAAATAAACTTGTACACGGGTCACAGAATTTATTTACGAAAATCGAACGTATACAAGTACCTAAATATATATGTAATAATAGCTATAATGTTAATGGTTTAAATTTTACGTAATACATGTTTAAGATATCAAAATTTTTTATAAACAAATTAAATTATGTACATTAAATAATGAACCAAATTTTTTTTTCATATATATATATATATATATATATATATGATAATGTATACATTTAAATAATATATTATATTATATATCTTAAATATATGTAAGTTCAATATTGTATTAAAAAAGATTGACCGAAATTAATACTATATTTTTATCATACAAAAAGGAAGTTCTTAAAACATTTTTTCAGAAATAAATATGATTGTATAATTTTTAATTCAACAAATAAAAAAATAATAAAAATTACACACATATAATTTAATAAATATAATAGGTTTTCTAACAAAAATTAATAATTTATAAAACCAGTGAAAGCTTGTAAATATCAAAATATTTTATTCTTTAAAAATATACTCGTGTCTACAGTTAAAATTATAATTTCATTATTAAATTTATTTGAAACGTTGACGATTAGTTTAAAACATAAGAACATTAGATATTGAGTTGTTTAATTTATAAATTTTAAAAATAATTTCAAATAAGATTATGATACTGGATAACAATGTTATGTATGAATAACATTGTTTTTATACATTTTTATGCGAAAATGTTTCACGAGTATACATGTATAAGTACCTGACTATAACTTAATATTAAATTGCCCTTTGACGTTTTAAAAAGTACATAAATTCGTTAATTTAATAACATTAAGCCTAGAGATGTTATAAAAGAATAAATTACATTTTAAATTATTTTTACAATCAGTAGTTACAAAATATGTAGGTAGTTGTTAAGTTTACATTATATGTTCACGTCATAACAATTTGCTTATTTATTGCTTTATGTACAAAATTATACTCTCGATTTATAAAGTAACAACATTTGATAAAATTACAGCTATACGTTGAAATATACAAACGTAATGTATAAACTATATAAATGTGTTCGCAATCAAATTATTAACAACGTTTTATAAATTCACGGAAAATAATCTTGGAAATATTCATAAGTACTTAATTAGATTGTTGAGTGAGATTTGCGTGTTGAAAAAAAAAAATAAAATAAAATTATCTAGATAAAATACAGACAGTAAATATATATATATATAAGTATGTAAATCGAATTGAGTAGTTATAAAAATTATCGCTGCACACATAGGATATCGAGACGAATACAAATCGAATAATACGGTTAGTGAACGGAAGGGAAGGTAAAACGGGAGCAAAAGATTTCATTGCGAGAGTGAAAAAAAAAATAGGGATGAGAATGGGGGAAAAAATGACTGGAATCTGTCATAACGAGCAAGAGGATCCCCGTATGGCCTATACATTATTGATTATGTAAACAAGACAGCATATTTCACTGGGTTTTGGATATATTCTCCCGAGGCTGTTCGTGTGTACGTACAACCTACGTAACATGTACACATTGTCCCACGTAATACGTACACACGCAAGCGCGCGTGCCTTTACGTGTATAATAATGTCATGAGCACACAATGTTGCGCGACATAGGTTTTTTTTCTCATTCGGTTTCCGTCCCGGCGCTGCGCGCCGTTCGGCTCGGCTGTGATTTTGATCGCAAAAATATTATCATTTTTCTCGCGTTCTGTGAAATGATTAAGTTTCCGTGGGACGGATTCCATTCGCACGCGTTTCCGGTTACGTATATCGTTCGGATGTGAATCGTATTTATAGATTAGATTGGCCTAGGTGCTTCATACAAACATCATTTAAAATTAGGGATTGGCCGATCCTAAAACCGATACTTGGCACATTCCAATATACCGATATCGGTATCGGTTTATCGATATTTGAACCGATACCGCAAAAAAACAATTTTAATATCGGTTCGCGGTTTTTGCCAAAAAAGTTGATTTTTCTACGTATTATATTAAAAATCAACTTAGTTTTTACTTGTGATTATTATATCGGGTAGGTATCGGTTTTATGTCGGTTGCATATATTGGTATATCGGGTATCGGTAAAAAGTAGTATCGGACCATTCTTATTTAAAACGCTGCCGCGGCAGTAAAACTCTATACAACTACGGCGCTCAAACTCGAATTAAAGTTTTTGTTCTTTGTACACGCGGCTCGCCGTAGTGCATATTATTGCATATTTTTATGGTCGTTTTTTTTTCCCCCGGCGAACAACATTTTTACCGTATAAAATATTTAAATACACACAAAACACTTTGAAAGCGAAACGTTTAACGCGATATTCTATTACATCATGCACTATTATTATCTACGTGTACATATTACGTATCGTAATACAGTTCATTTCATTCATAACCGTTGTACGTTTTCATATTTTAAAGAAACAGCTTATTGTGAGTTCATATAAATGCTGTTGCACCGGGAAATATGTATATGAACATATAAAGAATAAAACGTACAACAGAAATTAATGTAAAATTCTCCTATCAAAAAATTGTACTATACGTTAGAAAGTTAAATATTATTATAGGAGGTACTCCAGTTTTTTCATAAATCATTCATGTATTATTTAAGTATACGTCTAGAATAATTCACGATAATAATACCTACATAAGCATAACATTAATAATGCATACAAACAAGTATATTAAAATTGATGGAAATTTATAATACTTCCATAAATTTAATGTGAATCATTAAATGTGTGACAAAAACATTTTATGGATTCAATAACATATCCGTCATTATATTTACAATTAATCAAAAATTTTTAATCTTTACGTAATAATTAAAATTCTATCAAATTCATAGAGACGTATGCGTTTACGTACAATAAAATATTACCTATTGTATAGATATATTTCATGTTTATTGTCCTAATCTCTTTCGAACTGTTTTCATAAAATACTGACGGTGCGATGTAATATATAATGCTCTCGTGCCCGAGATAACCACTGAAATTAAACAATCGATTTGTATGATTTGTTTCCATGATATCCACAACAAAATCCACACTGAAAAAAAAATAATTCTCATTATATGTATAACGTCTTCAATTATATAATTTTATTTTAAATCTAATTAATAATATTCTGATAATGTTATAAGATGTACTTTAATCATAGTCATGTGCTAAGTAATATAAAAAACTACGCAGTGAGACAGGTACATACGAATGTTATATTCATGTGAAATATACCTAAGTACAATAATTGTAACAATATTCATTCAATGATTTTCATCCTTTCAATGTGTACTTACGAAACTTCACTATAACTATGAAATGTACCAATTATGGCTGTTAACTTGATATAAGTGTAAACCTATATAGACTAATAGTGTATTTAAGTATAGGTACGCAGACCTATGTATACTACGTGCGGTTGGATATATATATCCACACCTATGGATATGAACTATTTACGTTTCTGCAGTTGATAAAAGTCCATAAACACTTTCATCGTGAATCGTCTTATATATAGCAAGGGTGGCCACTAATCTTAACTTTGGGAACCGCAAATTTATAAAACTACAAGTACTAAGAACACCGCCGCCGTGCCAATCTATACCTAATAACGACTGTAACGATAACAAAACCGACGGCAGTAAAAACACTATAAATGTTTCTAACGATTCTAAAAAAATTTTATTTTTATAAATTTTAATCTAAATTTCGTTCAAGAGCCGCACGAAACTGATTTAAGAGCCGCGTGCGGCTCACGAGTCTCGTTGTGGCCACCCCTATAATATAGTATTTATATACGAGTATAATATATTTATATCATTACCTATGCGCTTATAATTTTCACTCGACAATCCGCTACAATGTACGATATTCTATGTATGGTAGCTGTATAATACATACAACACATAATTTATGTAGTATATTATATTTTATGAGCATCTACACGTATTATAAAACATCTATGCAGATATTGATTATTTTCAGAATTTCTAATAAATGTTCTAAAAATATATAACTCCGAGCATAAATCTTTTATAGGTACTACAATAGAAGTATGTAGTATATAAATATACATATACCAAGTGTAGTGTTGGCTATATAGGAGGATTAGAGTTAATGATCTAATTATGCGCATATAACATTTTCGAAAGTCAAAAGCTCTTACCATCGAACTATACTTCATAATTTCTATAACACCTAGATTATTATCACCTGCAGGGGTAAAAATGTAAGAAAGCAAGGGAAAAAGTACGACCATAAAACTGTTTTAACTAGATCATAAATAAGTATCAATATGTAACAATATGTTTGCGAGAAATATAATGGGAGGAATAAACGTACTCAAAATGGAGTGTTTCGTGTTCATTTTGATCGCGTGCCGAGTAGGATTACGAGGTGAACCTCAACGTTTATGTTCGTAATGTGTGGATTGAAATGCACTCGTGTACACTCAAGTGTACTACTAACGTATGTAATTCGGTACGGCTGATTATCGGTTAAGTCGAAATCACCTACGTAAATGTACACAATTCCATGTTCTATAATTAAAATATTGATTTCCCTGAACACACATATTATGCTGTGCGAGCATTATATACAGGAACGGAAGCGTTTTCAGCACACGGTGGGTAAACGGTGATTTAAGGAGAAGGTGGAAGGACTCGGAGTCTCGGCGTATATTAATCTCATGCTGTGCGTGCCTGTTCTATTTCAGATATAGTATCAGGGTCGGCTCAAGAGCCGGGGGGGGGAGGTAAAGTTATAATTTTACAAAACCTTATAACAAAAAGAAAAAAACAATTTAGTCCGTACAGAAATGTGCGCTACTCAATTCATGTTTTGAATATTATAAAATAATAATATCATAGTATCATACCATAGTATATTTTATATTAATATAGTTTATTCATAGCCTTATTGGTTCTTCTTTATAGATAGCAGGTACATCGTATACACCGTCATACCTCTATGGCTCTATCTACATACTTGTGCGTGTCGTATATCAGTCCATATTACAATGTGCATTTTTCGTTAACAATATACATTTTTTTATGAATACGGTACGGGCTTGGGGGGGGGGGTGCCTTAGGGATCGCCACTGTGTCGTATTCGCTTGCGGAAAATTTCGAATTCGCGCAATGTGCTCTCTTGTGGGTGTGGTGCAAAAGTAAAAACGTCAGTTTTTATGTGTTCATGCGCAGGTACATTGGGCATGGTTATTTGTTTAAACAAGTTGAAGCGACATAGCATTGACTACACGATTTATGGATCGCGAAAATGTACACGTTGCTCGTGAAAGTATTATGACACTTTTGCAGAGTATCGTAACGTTACCACAAGACTTGATTGCAAAACACATTTGGATAGGTTTTTGCGAAAAGTAACGAACTTTTTACCAATGGCACGACCAAACTGGAAGCGACTCGCTTGGGTTATGCGTACGCGGTTAAGCGTTACAGCATCGAGCTGATCGTTGTAATCTGATGGCAACGGAAAATAATTGTTTCTGTTCTCAAAATGTTTTCGCTCCCGTTCGCCCGCGACACGCGTAACGCAATCGTTTCCGGTCCCTCGAACGCCCGCGCCGTTAACATTGTTCGCAGCGGTACGATGTTGTGGGTTTCACTATATCTCGCGCAACGTACTCGGTACACAAATGTCCCCGTGCCCTCTTGGCGATTCGGTGCTCTCGCGCGGCGTAAACATAGAACGATAAAACCGTTGTACCGGTGTCGTTGTACCGCGCCGTGAGTGCATGTAAAAATACTCGCGTACGCGTGCATTTTAGCGCGTACGGAAATACGCGATACTGCGGGCGGGTGGAGTTCGCGGTCGGCGGCGAATCGTAACTATTTGCCGTCACCGGTCGGCGGCGTATCGGTTTAACGACGCGAACGGTTTTGGCGTGAACCCGCTGCGGAAGAACGAAAACGAGACGAGGAAAAAAAAAAAAAAAAACAAAACCGATAAATTAATTACGGCGGGCGCGGCGGTTTGGACCGTTCGGTACAACAATATTAATCGGCGAAATAGCGAAACGTCGCGCGGGACGCACACGGACGCGCGTTGCACGCAGTGCGGTTCGCCCCCGTCCACTGAACAAACACAAGTTAATTTATTAAACGAACCGCGCAACAACAACGGCCGGAATGAAATACATAAATAATATAGGTGCGCGCGCGCACGCGGAAATATTTACGCGCTTGTGTCAGAATTATTGAAAATACCAAATCGTTCGGAGCGCGCGCGCGGATTCGTGTGTGTATACCTATTACGTGTACGTTATGTAATTCCCACGTGCGTACACACGTTAATGACTGCGGACCGATTCTAATAACAATAATTTAATATTACGATGCGTACACCGTTTGTACACCGTTTTATTTGGACAGCTATCGTATTGTTATTATTATTATTATTATTATTATTATTAGTACACAATACGTGCGAGCGATGGTATAATCGACGGTTGATGTGTCGACGTTTATGTTGTTATTATTATTATTTTCACCACCTCTCGACCGTACCCGGGGAATTTGATAAATTAAAATCCACTGTACGCGTTCGGCGTGTGTATGGTATTTTTAGAATATATATATATATGTTACCGCGGCGGGATAATTTTTTTTTTTAACGTTCGTATTTCCTCGATCGGTTCGTGTACTTTTTTTTTTTTTTTTTGTTTAATAATTGTTTTTGTTACTTTTTGTACGATATTCGATATCGTTTCAATACGATTTTTCGACCATTTTCTAAACGACGCGACAAATTATCTTTTCTAGTGTTTAATTATCGTTTTCTAAAAGAAAATATTTTTTCCTAAACGATGAGGATTGCATATCTTAACATTTCACTCCTCTCATACAATCGTTAAGCGACCAGTTTACATTTCGATTTTATAAGATATAGAGATTTTTATAAAAATAAATGCTAGTTTTTACTACCTACCGTTTAAAAAGCAATAACTAGTTCGAAAACACATGCATTTACACAAATAATGAGACGACATTGCTTAGTTGTGTATAGTGTATGGCTTTGCCTTGTGCTTTTTAATCGGGTCGAAAAGTCCTTCCGAACGTGAATATTATACAGCACGTCATGTATTTATTGATACACAGATACATGATGGTACGTAAACCAATAACAACGGTCGTGAAATTCGATTTCGATTTTTTGATTAAATTTACGTATACCTAATATATATGTATAAAGAAATTGATTTTTTACTCTTTCGTATACTTGGTCCCACTATTTGGTTCAAATAAACGCAATGCGCCCGTGGCTTGAGTTATGCATTAAATCACATGCGTAATATTCTATTCGTAAACCAGATGTGTACATAAATATAGACATATAAACGGATCCCTACGAACAAGCTATTTGCTCTAAAATGAAATATGTAGAATATCTGGAAGCGTTTTCGTCATAACGATCCGTACATGAGAATTAAATGAACGATAAATCTTTATAACTTTTATAAGATTACGCACTTTATGATGTAAAAATGATGAACATGTTTTCGGCAATCCCGTTTTATCAAAACATTTAAAATATGATATAAACAAACTTATGACGGTCTATCTGATATATTTTGGCAAATGAGTTTTTTTATATTTAGTTTGATAACCAATATAGAATAAGTATATCTAGTATATCTTACTATATTATTAATATATAAGTATTTTATAATGCTCGGATATATAATGCATTATTAGACTCTTAAAAAATAGTTTTTAAAGGCATTTTTTTTTATTCAGTTTCTCTGGAAAAAAGACAATTTAATCGGAGCAAATAAGTTTAAATTCATAACAATAATATTTTCTGTTAACGTATACATTACACCCTCACTTTTCCGACGAGTCTATGGATATGAAGTTCCTAATAAATATTTTTAAAATTTAAAGTTTTAGGCCGTTCAAACAATATCTATACCATTTACCTGTATTTGATAATATTATCAAACACATCCAAGGATAATATACGAAATGTTGTACGCTGAAATAGTATTGTACAGAAAACATTTTAAAAGTGTTTTGGATTTTCATCGATTTATTTGTGTAAATCTATAATCGTGAACACCCTATACCCCTTTTATCTTCACCCCGCAACACAATATGTATGTATGCATTACACCTGGCAGTTATTTCACTGGGCTGTAAATATAAATAAATATGTACATAACTTTATCATGATAAACGTAAAGCATAATATTAACGTGTATTTTTGTTTTCAGTATCGGTGTTGGAAGGGCGCACTTTGAGAAACAACCACCAAGCAATCTAAGGAAATCAAATTTCTTTCATTTTGTGATCGCGCTGTACGACAGGTCTCAGCAGCCGATCGAAATTGAACGGACCGCGTTCATCGGATTCATAGAAAAACCGGTAATTTTTGTATGCTTACAGTAACTCATCACAACGTATTGTGTGCGTCTATTGTTTTTGATCTTCATAACGTGAATTAATTTTGTTTAGCTGATAGTACACGCACAGACGGCGTGTATAACGTAAAAACACCAAAACAGGAATACACGACGTTTAGCCCTGTTTTTTTTCTTTCAAATATTAACATGTGCATTATAATACACATCGGATCGGTGTGTATATTACTATTGTTTTATAAATTATTATTTTTTTTAATCTCTTTTTTTATCTCGTCGTTCCTGAAATGGTCGGTTACGGTACTAATCGAATATACGACTTGTTGGAGAAAGTTTGATCGTTATGGTTACACGAACACCATGGAAATTTAAATCTTCCCGTAAAAATCAAGGTGACGACAATAAACGACACACGTCATATAAACAAAAAGATAACAATAAACTGTTAATATAAATATATACAAGGCCGCGACCAGAATTTTTTTTTTTTTTGGTTGAAGGATTAAGAGTGTAAATATCTATTTTTACTAGCAAATTTTAAAATTTCAAATGCTATTGGCCTGTATAATTTAATTATATATTAGGAAAACATTTTGGGAGGGTTTAAACACTAAAATCTCTCCCTGGCTAGGGCCTTGCATATATATATATATATATATATATATATATATACATATATAATTCGTGGTCCATTACACAAACGGATAATTTGCGTTCCGTTGTCAAATGTATATATTATTGTGCGTTTATATAATATAGTACAATATAATCTATAAGGGTCAAGAGTTAAATTTGACAGAAGATGATACGTCCTAATGGTTTTCGTTCACTAACACATATTATGTATATAATACGGCATTCAAGTGCGATCGATTAATTTTCTATTCAAAGTGTAATTTCGCTAACACGATTTCTACGTACTATTATTCGAGTAAACATCGAACGTTTGAACGAATAGGTACCAATGTGTTCTATTCATATTCATATATATTATATTGTATTGTATTATATTATACTCGAAGTACGTGCACGTCATAATACGATTAATACATCCGTTTCCATGCTGATTGTAGTGCACGTCCTTATTATAATTTTCACAATACTTCTTACGATCCTGCCACATGTTTTTTTTTCTCTTCGCAACAATGACATTATAATATATACATTAAGAGTAAGACGTAAATAACTTTAAATAAATCAAGTCTTCCAAATGATTATCACATTCGTTTTTTCTATATTATGTCATAGTAATAATTTTTAACGTTCTTGTTAGGTTCAGATGCTAATTTTAGCGTACAATATCTAACAATAGTAATTTTACATTCAGATTTAACATGTCTCATTGATAATAATTATAACGTAAACCATACAATGAATGTGTTAGTATTAATCCTAACGCGTGGAGCAATGTAGTAAGTGCCTGATAAACATGTGACACATCGAAAGAATTAATTTTTTTTTTTTTAATCATTATTCCCCGAAAATCGTTCAAATTATATACTACTACGTCATTCATTGAAATTTCACATGATTTGACTAAATTAAAAAACCAATTAGTTATTATATATTTTTTTTTGGCTCAGTGCTCTAATATAATACGTAATAACAATAATATATACATGATAACAATACAATAAATCTAAACTTAACCGAACGAAATGGTTTCCATTGCAAACATGGTTTATCATATTTAATGAATAGTTTGACTTTATTTAATTTTTTTTTTAAATTTTTTTTTTTTTTATCTTGATTGGTGTTACGACAACGTTTCAGGAATGTTTTTTATGAATATGGGTATATACAATATAATATAAAGATATTCCGTTTAATATATTATGTACCCACTCACCTATATTATATTATAATACATAATGTATACAGTGTTTTCCGGTGATTAACTCGACGTTACGCATCGTTTGTTAGACTTTTGGACAAGATATAGCTTCGAGAAAGTGTTCCGATAAGTCAAAGTCTGTTTTGTTTTCGCGCACAAAACATGTAATATTTGGTCAAACATGAATGTTGTATGTACGTTTCAGGAATCCGAGTCGCAGAAGACCAACAACGGTATTCAGTATAGACTACAGCTGTTGTATGCTAATGGTAATGAACGTGCGCTTTTGATCAAAAGCGGTCTGTAAATATGCTAATACCGGTGCCGTTTTATTTATTTAGGTGTACGACAAGAACAAGACATATACGTGAGACTTATCGATACCGTTACCAAACAAGTGAGTGATTTTCTAATGTACAATAATATAATGTTACGCGCGATTATTCACTATTATAATATTGTTTTGATTTACAAAAAAAGAAAATTAATTCCACCAATAATTTTATCTCGTCGTAAGGTTTCTTCACCAATCCCACATTCCACAGCCATCTTATTGATTGTTGTTTAGTTCTTAATTACTACGTTGACTTCGGCAATCCACATTGATATTTCACCAGTCTGATTGCTTACAACCGCTGCTTTTCCGACCGCTTTCACCACTGATATATATTTTGTACATAAAAAATTAAAAATATTATATAAAATAAATACCCGCTTAATGCACCCACGTATGTAGTGAACGTGTACATCACATGTACACGTCGATTCGATGGTAAAAGTGTTTGCGCGTGGGCACAATAATCTCCTGACGTACCGAATGTCTCGCGGTGTTCCTCGTTAAAAAACGCGATCCAATGACGCTCACACAATGCGACTTTCGTCGCATTTCGTAATTATTATTTGCTATGCTGTTTAGACTCGCACATTCGCACGCGTGTGTGTTCAGGATGGTGCAATATCATGCGAACAATGGATAATTTTTTTTTTTTCCAAAAAGGGTTTTTATTTGTATTTGATTTTCGATTATTTTCCTACCGGTACGCCGTTCGTCGACGACTAGGGTAAAGGATCGAGAGATAAAGGACGACCGACGTACACGGTGCAGGAATACGTGACGTGTGTGTATATATGCTGCTGCTGCAACGGTACGCCGAGTGGATTTCATCCAATCCACCGATACTCGGCGTGCGTGCGCGCGTGATAAAATAATAATACGATTGAAAGCAAACAGATTACACGCGCGGTCGACGTTTCGATCGACACTTATCGACCGTACTAAACCGTACACTTATATTTATACGTAGGTATGTATGTAAATACACAGTGAACCCTTTATGAGCATATCACTACCCTCGGTCCAATCGGTCGAATATTCAGTCGTTATTCGGTCTCCCTTCGAATAACTTCTAATTCCAGTGCCTTAGTGCGTAGGCTTGTTACTTACATACGTATACATACGGAGGTTTAACGAAACATTTCACCGCCGTATCGATCAGCCTCGACCGGAAGGGGCAACCCGTTTCACGTAATAACATGATTTATAAGTAATTACATTTTTTTTTTTTTTTTTCGCCCTCCGTTACATTTTACCGTAAACCACCTTTTGCACTCGCGGTATAATGTTCGCTCGGTTCGAACCGACGCTGGTTTCACCTTAGCCCGGGGAAAAAAAATCGGAAAAATCGCTGGCGACAAAGATTACGACGATAAACCGATCGATCGGAAGTCGGACGGGCTGTGCGGTGCGGTGCGTTTTTATCGTGCGCGTAAAGTGCACGTGCACAACGCACACGTCAATACCTGCACCGAACTATCCGCAAAGTCGCCGTTGACGTCCTCTGAACCGCGTTCTCTGACCCGTGTGATTGTACGCGGACGTCACGTGCGGCGCGCGCGCGCGCGACCATGGCAAACGCGTATGTACCGTACGTGCACCGGCGCGTGTGTGCGGCCGCGGTGGCGGCACGTGCCACGCCTCCCGCGACTGCCGCCGCAATCTGATCCTCTCGCCGTCGCCGCAACCGACATCCGTCCGGCGTACGCCCACTAAACGGCTTTATCAACACGCATATACACGTATTGTATACAATACATCGTACGTACGGTATTCCGCCGCGTGTACTCGCGTGTACACGGCACACTCGACCGCCGTCGTGTTTGCGACGATTATCATTGTGATTACGTTCGTTAAAAACGACGATCGAAATCTACCCTCCAACGGTGGCGGTGCATCACCTTTTTTTTTGTTATGTATATATTCCTCCCGCCCTTGCTTTTGCACACGTATACATCTAAGTGCGCGCGCATGTGTGTGCATGCTGCAGGGGCGGTAAACTCTGCTGTACCGTATCCGTCATCGCGTGTCCGCCGTATGCGTCGAACAACTTAAATTCACCATCGGCCAACACGCAAGTCGGGATGCTGTAGCCTTTTGATTTTATTGTTGTTAAATCTTTTAGTTTTCCATTTGAAATCGGCCAAGATACACGTTCTGTACTAGGTACTTCTTAAATAACATCTTGATAGGTACCTGTAGTGATGATGATGTACGTTGCGCTCTAACGAAAAACTGAAATTACGCCACTATCTCATAATCCTATCATATCATACCCCTAATCGGGTTAGGTTCAAAAAAAAATTAATGAACAGGTTATTTTGTTGTTATTGAGCGTATTACAATAAACGAATGTGAAATGTATAGTTTTGTTGGATATGTCGCGTGATGTTTCGCATGGCGTCCAACAAATCATTGAAATCTTTAATTCGTCTTATCTGTGCGTAATTTTTGACGTTCAGCGTGTTAAGCATTTTATCAGATGCAAGAAACTAGGTAAATACCATTTTTTTTTTTTCATAGAAATATTTATAAAAGGTTAAAAAAAATTACTAATAGAACAATAATAATGTCTGGATAATTATAAGTAGAAATAATAAAATAAAAAAAAAAAAAAAAACAATATGTTTCTACGTTAAATATATTTGTTTTTCTAAGACCACAAATTCGACTGAAAATGTTTATTGTTTTGTAGTTGAACATTAACGATTTCAAATTGTTGCTAAATATTTTTAACATATCTATTCATATGTAGCGACTAAGAGAACTAATGTATAGTTTTGATAATATCAATGTAATTTATATTTAAATTATTGTTTGTGGCACGTCATATGGTATTATATGCACCATTTATTTTAATATATAAAATTGATGTAATATACATTATTATGTTTTACGCCCAATTCAAAACATAAGTGTATTACTCACGCGATAGTTTATTCGTTTCGAGTGAATATTTATGATGGTAAAATTATTGAGAACGGTATACATTAGCTAAGGTTGACATAACGAATATAATTTCAATAATACAAAAACAATTAATTTTACAATTTTTAATTTTTTACAAATATAAATGTAAAACGAAAATAACTAACATTTCCGGTAGGTACTTAATATTATTAAATTTTGCAGTATATTGTACAGTATACAGTGTAAAATGTATAAAGGATATCAGTGTTTTGACAATCGATCGGTAATACTACCAAAAAATAAAATGGTAAATATGAACATTTAGTGGTACGTGAACGACATTTCTCAAATCCACTAAAGCCGATTCGGATTTTCTAACTTATAATAAAATACTATCAACCCTGGTATTCAAATCATATCTGTTTCTTCAGGTTTTACAGTCCTCGGAGGACTTTCGTTGCATCAACTCCATCTGACCATGTCGACATATAGTATATATTAAATATTATATTACATATGATTGTAATAATAATAATGTTATTATATTTTTATAGATTATAAAAAATATACGTACTCCGGGGAGTGGGCAGTGGTAGCGGGTGGTCATATGACGATGGTAGTAGGTCATTTCGAAGGTATAGGATAAAAGTTTAAATCGAATTCCCTCCGAGACGTTTAATGTGAGTTTATTTGCAGTGCCTTTACATGGTGTAGGTACATACAGACACTCGTATCATTACTATTATGTACGGTTCGTGTTGACAATCAACATCTCGTCGGCGCGAGCACGGTAAAAAAAAAATAAAAAAAATACTTGTTGCGCGTTGGTCACGCAGGTGGTGGATTGAACATATACGCGCGCGCACGAACACGTATACTAACCCAAATATATTAACATCGGTACATGCGTATAACGCGTAAAGTATCATCGAATAAGTTTCCCGAGACTGTTTGAAACAGATAAAGTGTATAATTTATAAACGCGTACACGCGCACACTTTTATGTGTAATATATAACACTGCACGCGTAAGCAGCGGATGGCGCGGTGTGAAAATCGATGAGCGGTGCGGAAAGAAGAGAAGGTGTATCGTTTTTCGTACGTCTCCGACTTATTTCGCGCGACAGCGACCGAAAAACGAAACGGTGTGTCGAGAATTAATTGATTTTCTTTTCGTTCTTCTTCCCCTTTATTTATCTATTTATCGTACGTAACCGTGCATATACAACTTTTTTCCGAGTACTTTATTTCACACATACGCGCGTGTACCGTCGTATATTATTACCTATAAGAACCCTACGCCGGTACGTGCACATACGCATTACATCCATGTATATAATATTTAGGTACGCGATTATACTGTTACTACACCTTATAGACGAACCGTGAACGTACCCTATACGTGTGATATTATATAGCTATGTGTAGGTATAAGCTCGCAAATAATACGGTGCATTGGTGTACGTGTATGCATATGTACATATTTATATATGCGTCCGAAACGAGGCATAAAATGTTATACAGATTTATCTCGGGGCCTATTAAAGAATAAAAAGGTTCTGTTTTATTTTTTTTATTTTTTATTTTTTCTAATACTTTCCAAATGTATTTCTTTTTATTTCACACTATATAAATAGTATCGTACAAAATGCACATCTTCATCTGGGAACAGGTTAAAAAAAAATCTATTGAACAGAGTAAGAATGTTCTTATATTACAAGTGAAAAGGATTTAGAATATTATGTTATGCATTCAAAATGTACACAGGTATATATATGTATCTATATATATATATATATATATATATATATATATATATATATATATATATATATATATATATATATATATACATACATCTGCATCATGATTGTATGTGAATATAGGTGTAACATTAATGTCACATTATAACGTATAAATTCTATTTTATATTATACTGGTATAATTACTAGTATAGTTCACTATCTGTTGCTTGATATAATTATTACTCACGCAAGTAATCATGATTATAATTACAAAACCCTTCTTCTAACCATTCGAATGTACTTCAATGACTATTTATATAATTTCGAATTTGAAGAAGTTTCTGCAAGACATCATTATGATGATATTATCTTAAATATAATCTTCTGTGATTTATGACTCGTATTAATTGTCATATTCAATTGATTTTCACTCATGCCTAAAAAGTTATTATACAACTCAAGTCCATTGAGGGTTTTTTGTATAAATAATAATAAATATACTTACTATAATTACGCATTACGTGATTTAATAATTTTTTTTTTTATATACCTTATATGTATATCTTTCAAATTATAAGTGTAGCGAAGAATGCATTGGTTTCACTATCAAGTGTTTTTTTTTTTTTTTACAAATATACCTAATGCTAAAGAAATTTATGTTGAGAGAGGGTTTTTTTTTTTTTTTTCTTACCCAGGGCGCAAAATTCCTAAACACGTCTCTGCGTCCAATAAAACGTGTTGATAATCCATGAGTTAATCCATCAATTACGGCATTCAAGTGGTCGGGCACGAATTTGTTACACAAGTTTTGGATAGTTCAAAAATTGTTTTGCGCAAACACAACACATACATGGTGGTTGTATTACGTGTCTATATTCTGCACGATACATTCAAACAAACACGTACACACACACACACACACACAAATGTATATATATATATATATATATATATATATATATATATAATAGATGATGCAATATTATATTATTAACTATATCTCTTCGGTACCATCACCCTTTGCGCCGCGCATTCATGTCCACCACTAACATCGCAAACACTCACGGTACACCCCTCGCTGCCGCTGACGGTCCAAAGGGGTAAAGGTTATAAGGTTGTAGATTTACACACACACGCGTGTTGTATATTTGTATATGTATATGTGTGCGTGCGGACGCGCGCGTGTGTAGAGGTTTTGATAGTGTTATACACACGTCGTAACACTATGTATAATAATAATAATAATAATAATAATATACGGTATATATACGTATGTATGTAATACATTATATTGTATTATAGTGTATGTGTACGTATATGCACATCGCGTGTGATGTATATAACCTAACCCGATGGCGAGCGGCGGTCGGCGGTCGGCGGTGCGGCTACGACTGCGGAGATGAGCGCACGCGATAGTGGCGACGCGAATTACAACGCTCTTATCTATCTGTTTCGCATTGCCAAGTCGCGCTCGCACCGCATATATACGCACACGTGTATTATGTATATTACCGTACTTATGCACACGTGCACCATAATAATAATAACAACGTAACTATACGATACACATAAATGCCCGTGTGTGCGCGTGCGGCTTTGTCCACGAGTATACGTGTGCAGAGCCGTAACTAGGGCGAGGTGAGCGAGGCACTTGTCTTGGACGCCCGAAGCTGGGGGGCGCACAAACATTAAACAATAAACTTGTTTTAAGAAATGTTATTTCTCGTTTCGCTTGACCCCTGATCACAAATTTTCAGATTTTTCCCAATCGTCCCAATACATAATAAAAGCTGCGAGTGTGGCAACCCTACAACCATTGCTTCAGTTCTGCCTCGGGATAAAAAACGGCTCGGTACGGTTCTGTAAGCGGTGTGAGTCGACACGACGATTTTACCTCCATGTTCCTCTGGTAGACAATTTTATTGAAGTACCACCCGGTGAAAATTTCTTAAAATATGCTCCATTAGAATCTGAATAGGCACAACAAATCGGAAAAATCGGTAAGACACTTCCCCGGTTGGATATATTATTTTTGTATTTTTACCTTAAATTTTTGATTCTATCAGAAAAGTATTACTAAAATAAAGTCACTTAAAGTAAACAAACATCTTAGTATAATAATATTAATAAATTTCTCATTTAATTTAAGATTTCCTAAGCCTATATAGACGTATTCACGATACAGCAAATATATTATATTAATATTATACAGAACTTAATATTACCAAACGTATCGTTTACACAATTATAAAACGTACATTTTATCTACAAGCAAAGTGTCCTTTTTTAAATCGAGCACGTGCTTAGTCCTGTTTTACAAATATTTAATCATTATTACATTTATTAAAAAGCCGCAACGTACTACCGCAATTCGGTCTCGTTAATTAACCACCGCCATCTGTCTTGATCGCAAACTCTCAGCAAAGCCAATTTCACTACATAGAACTCATTAAAACTTTCCGCGTCGGCGTCGACGACTGAATTCGTATTTATTTATACACTCTGTTTTTCTTTCGCTTAGAGTATTATCATACGATTTATACTGTATCTGCGGGTAGAATATACAAAAGCGTTTAGTTTGCGTTGTACAAATGCAAGAACAAATATATCTATACGAATTTCACCTGCCAGATATTTTCACGGCAGTAATTCGGTAAATACGCGCATCGGTAAAAACGGGTGGACTGAGCGAAAACTGCGTGTGCGATAAATTCGAACGCAGGACTTTTTAGGATCCCGGTACACGGACCATGGGGACTTGGTGCGCTTCTTTCGACGGGTTTTCGTGTTGTGCGAACGGTTTCGTCTAGGTCGAATAGCACCGCGATGTCGATACCGTCTCGTTCGGACGGCATACGGATGAGCCGCTGAGCCGATCACGATAAGTTTTACATTTTACATCAACCGACTCTGGCACGCACGCACGCACGCACGCGCTCTCGTATTCAATTAGACGGTATTTATTGGGCCCCGCCGCAGCGAAAAGGGTGGCTGCACCCCCACACCGGATAAATCCTGCGGCAAAGAGGGAGCCGCGCCGGCACAAAGCCCAGGAAAACGTATATACGCGTGTGGGCGTGTGTATGTATACACACACATATATATATAATACATATATTAATATAAAATTGCGCTCGCCCCTGATTCTCGCGGGCCTAAGACCTCCGGATTAACCGTCTTATGTGCGCGCGCGTTCGTGTTCCGCCGCAACTACGCCATTCCCCGCCAACGGTGCCCCCTCGCTGCTGCCGGAGAGAGTATTGTTTAAAAATCTATTACAGAACGCTAATGCCATTAAGCTCCTTTAATATGTTACATAAGCCCTCGGAGGGCTCCTTCTTTTTTTAATTGTTTCCATTATAGGGCATAAAATATTAACCTTTTCGGTTTCGCCGCGCGTAACGAAGACCGAAACACGCACGTGTACGGTTAACAGTATCACGATATTTATACATGGTATTGTGCGTTATGTACCTGCATCCACGTATGGACACATAACGCACTGAAGTACTGGTTAAACTCGGTATACGAACTGGCCCCCCTCGTGTTGTTTAACGATAGTAATATATCGGTGAGCAAAGCGATTTATACTATTTCCCATTACGACGTAGGTAATAACAGGGTCTAGTTCATTTCAGTCACTACGTACAACGCGCGTTATTACATTTTAAATCCATCAAATATGTCCTTCGTTGTACACAAATATGTGATTTTTTTTTACAGGCCATCATTTACGAGGGTCAAGACAAGAATCCAGAAATGTGCCGGGTGCTGCTCACGCACGAAGTCATGTGCAGGTAAATGTGCAGTTCTATAAATCGTTTATTTTACAATTATCTACACAACATTATATAGGACAATAAAGCGTGCGTATTAATTTTCCACCGCCTACCCACTGTGCAATTATACGTAACAATTATATCAACGCGATGTAAAAATAAATCGTGTAACGTTGCAACCTAAAGCGGATTTACACTATAGTAGGTAATGGTAAATGGTAGTGTTAATGTGCGGTAATTTGTATACTTCATAAAAATTTAGTATATCTGTTATTTTGCATCATTATAATAACATTTCAGATAAATGTTTTCCATTATAAGACAAGAAAAAATAAATAAATGCTCAATTCTGAGATTCGAACTTTCGCGGCCTCGTCTAGTGATTTAGGGATTTAGAAACTTTCGGTTAATCCTTGTTATAATTAAATCATTTGTTTAAATTTTTCATACATTTCATCAGATATATATGTACCTATGTACCGCATACCATGTGCGTCAACAGACGGTATATGAAAAGTGAGAGGTTATTGCAAAGAGCGTCTATCTGTCTTTATCGGTGGGTTTCAGACGGTTTTTTCTTGAAAATAATACCATTGATTACAGAATAAACTTATATTTTAAAATCAATGATAATACCATGTCAAAGACAAAATTATTATCAATAATTATGAGAAAAACTTGACAACACAAACGCATCACCATAATCGATTGCAATTTGGTCAACTTGGAAATGTAACACCTTTACACTACACATCACATACGTATCTACGGAGTATAATGTAACCGACGCAAAGAGATTCAACATCGGTGCGATGTTTTGTAACATTGAACGTTCAGTGGGCATATAGTGATCGGATAGTGCCGATACAGGGTTAGCAGCCGACACCGTCTGAACATAAACGTACGCATCGCGTACACTACATAGGGACCAAGTCGCGCTTGTGCGCGCACGTACGGCATTGAGGTGCGAACCGTTTGTAATAATGATGGATCGGTTACCGGTCAAATATTATGGCCGCTAACACGCTCCTCCCAGGTATCGCGACACAACGGCATTCCTCGACTTATATTCTCCTACACACGTACGACATGTACAATGTTTACACACACACACACACACATACACATGCGTACACGACCACTGCGATCGGCCAAGGGGACGGAGAAAGTTTGCCGAGTCACGGTCGGGATCGACGCTATTTTTTCTCATTTTTCTTATTTTTATGTTTACGTATGCACGCCATTCGCATTGTACACATGCGCGCGTAAACAACCACACCGTCAATAGTAGTCGCAGGCTCGGCGCGAGGGGTTGCATGTATGAACGCGCGCGTTTTTCCAAGATCGAAGGGGACCGAAACCCCGGGGGACAGGTGCACCGCGCCTTTACTACTGCAGCACAATAATAATAAAGGCCCCCGGTCCACCGGTATAATATTGTGTACAACATTACGCATTGTACGATACCAATACATGCGTATATCTGTTATTTTTAATATTTTTTTTTTATGTTGTTCGCAGTCGGTGCTGCGATAAGAAAAGCTGTGGCAACAGAAACGAAACGCCATCCGATCCGGTCATCATCGACAGGTAAGATTCAGTAACGATCTATGTCGTACGCATGAAATAACTCGCGATTTGACGCGTTTGCATACATAACTTTGCCAATAGATATTTTTCAACAGGCGTCGTATCGTATATTGAAAGCAACACGGACACCACCGTAGAATAGATATTTTAATATATTTGTAGCTCGAAGTAAACTACGTTTTTTGGTATTATTTGTGATCACCGCCAACGTCACATGTTATTGTAGAAAAAAAAGAATAATAATAAATACATAGAAAGACTAATGCTCTCTCACCCTCCTTTATTTTCGGTCGACTTTAGCACTTAGAAAAAAAAACCATTCGTTTCTGTTATGCTCTCTTCCCCCTGTACTTTTATAACGGAATGGTTTAAATACCACAAAGAGATCCGCACACTAATAAGCCGTCCCAGCGGGTGGGGTGCTTTGAACAAACTTCTGCTCTTTCGCCTTTTATCTAACGTTGTCCTCCCCCAGAACCAATTAAAACGCCGCAAACGCCCGGTATTTTTGTTTTAAGTAATCGCTAAATTGAAAAAAAAACAAATACCCACTGTAAAAACATAATTAGCTATAGAGACTTCAAAGACCGTCTAGAGATTGTTTAGGAAAATTGAATTACCAGACTAAAACTCGTGGGTAATTACTTAAACGACTGTTCAGAGAACGAACGGTGTGTTTACTATTTACATACGATACTATTCATCATCGAAATTCAAAGGTACAGCGCAAAATATTATCAAACATAATTTATATTATGTAAATCATGTGTTCGGTGCGGTCGAAACTTTATGGGCTATTGAATTTTATCGGTCCAATATAACCGTAATCAATGTGCATTTAAAATTTACAAACTTAAACGATATTTATGTTGACCACGCACGTTAAAAACTAAATTCAATTTGTGATTATTTTCACTAATAAAAACACGATCAAACGATAATGTGAGACACAATTACCATTATTACAACATCGTGGACAAACGTATAAAACTGTATGGTTGACGAAACGTATACCAATTGCAGTCATTAAGTACGACGAGCGTGTATAGATGAAATAATAGTCCAGTTTATAGTCAATTTATTTCTTCATCTTTAGGTGTGCTTTCAATTCAAACGGTTTAATGCTTTTTTTTTCGAACGTACATTTTTATCTCCTTTTAACCTACTTTGAAGTAGGTACATCACGTTTAAGGTTCGAATTCGAACTAATGTTTACGAACTATAATATACATGTATAACACGCAATATGAATTCTCAAAATATAATGTATATATATATACAATGTTGAGTTGTACTCATGCTCACGTTAATATAACCCAGTGGTTCCCAAACTGTACACCGCGGTGCTCTTGGGGCACTACAGGCACTTTCTAAGGGCACCGTAGTCTACGGTTTATAATAAATATTTTAAAATGGGCTATTGTAAACTCCACTAAATTATCGGTTAAGATAAAAAGGTAATAAAAGGTCTAATGTAAACTCCACCAATTTTTTTTTTCTTACCTGTAATGGGTATATGTAAATTCCACCAGTTTTTCTGTGTTTTGCCTGTGAATCTTTTCATGGTCATCTAAGAAATTCATTTTATAGAAGTCAACCGAATGTTTTTATTTTTAGTAAAGTTCTTACCGAATTTCCAACCCATACTAATATAAAACTAAATATCATATCTCAAGTAAATAAGCTAAAAAATTCGAAATAAAAAAAAAACAGTGTCACAGGATACTATAAATAGGTACACTAATTGAGTATTATAAGATTTAGAATACTTACAAATTGTATCAAATCATTATTTTACATACTTGACATAACTATATATTTTTGGATTATTGGGTATAACGATTATTTATTATGATTTTTTTTACTATGATTTAAATATTGATTGTTCACAATATGATATTATATTATATTATAATTTTTTTTTTTAATAATATATCATATTAATTTTATACTACTACTTGATTTTTTTCACTGGCGGAGTTTACATGAATCTAATTTTACCTGTTTTTTTTTTCTGGTGGAGTTTACATGCGCCCTTTAAAGTGTATAGATTTTTTTTCCTAATTGTTTGAAATATTTTCTATTGTATATTCGGAAATTCTCATTTTAACCTTATAATATTTTTATGTAATAATTATAATAATGATAACAATAATTTTATTTATTAATTTTTTTAGTTTAAAAATTCATTAATTTATAATTAAGTTAAATTTTAATAAAATTAGTTATCATTGATGACTTATCAATGAATATTTTTTTGTCCTGTCTTTCATGTTATTTACAGCAGGGCACCATGGTTAAATTGAGTCCAAAAAAAGGCACCGCAGAAAAAAAGTTTGGGAACCACTGCTATAACCTATTAAAACGTTATTATCAAGTAATTTTATTTTTAATAAGCTTAATATAACTTTAATAACCTTATCTGTACATATATTAATCTTAATAACTCATTATTACGTAATATACCTTCCATATTTATAAATATATATAAACAGAGTTAGAATGTCAGAAGGAGTGAAAGAAACTATTTAAGCTACATTGTGTCATGTGACTTTTGGGTAATGGATTGGGTCCGAGCTTTCATGGTGAAGAGTTAACGAGGTCGACCCTAAGTCCTGCGCCGACAAACTGCTCTCCCATCCGTCAAAATAATCGAACAGAATTCTTCTTTACTGTTGGGTACACGCAGCTATGTATACATATACTTGCATACGTCTTATTGTATAAAAAGGCAATCGAATAAAAAATAAATAAAAATATAAACCTTTTATCGAAATTGAGACGACGAAATATGTGTTTTTTCGAAACTAATGATGAAATACTGTGTACACTAATACAGTTGCCACAGTCTCGTTAACAAGAAAATTTCGTTTAGACTAGTTCACATAAAAAATGAATTCAGACAAATATGATTATCTAAAGTATATATATATATATATATTATTAGTATGTACAACCGTTTTTTTTTTTGCAACGGTTTGCGCTAATTAAATGTAATTCTTAGTTGTGTTCTATTCATTTCAGTTCGTATATTATTTTGATAAGTCTTAAGCACTCGGAATCATATTGCAGTAATGTACCTAATTATATTTATGAAATTTCAACGAATAAGATAAATGAAATAATATAATATACTATTATATGTATATATTGATTTACCCAAATTAATTGCCCTTCGCAGCGTGTAATATTATGCGATTATGTCACAAATGCAAATATTGGGTAGGGTGTCTCGGAAATATTTACGCCCTCTCCAACCCCAAACTCGTTTATCAGTTCAAGTATCAAATGTATAATTACTATTGCATTAGAGTATATCATGTCATATACCAAGATAAAAATCTGCAGAGTACATTCAAATTTCCTTAATTCGTTTTTCCGGTTACAATCAGTCACCCCTATATACTAATATAATACATGAGTGATGTGTCACCGTGTATACCACGATAACCAACTTCTATACATCGTATACCAGTTATAAGAAGCTGAAACTACGTCTGTATCGGCTACGATTTCGTTTTCTCATATTACGATTTTTCGCTTTTTTTACCCGAAGCGCGTTTCTTTGTTTGTTTGTTTATTTTTTTCCATGCCGGTGGTACAAAACAAACAAAAAAATGTGACGTATTACTGTACTACACATCTCCTATATAATATTTGTGGATGATTTATAACGCGGTGATGTAAAACAGTGAGAGAGAGATTCCAGCAGAACGCTTAATAACAATATTCGTTGAAGGTTATTATCATTATTATTATTATTATTTCTACCACTGTGAACTTTTTTTCCTCTTCCGTCTCCCGTATTTTTATTTTATATTTTTACATTTGCTATCTCTTTTAACGACACGCGTTCTGCGACTGAAGATCCGAATCGGATGATACTACATCGTTCCGACAGACCACCCCGTCCATTCCTACCACCATACGACCCACGCCGTCGTATAAGTAACTTCAACCGCCCCTTATATATCCTTACTATATATATATATATATATATATTATGTGTATGTGTGTGTGTAATATACATATATTTACACTCCCGCATACACCGCTGCTGCAGCAGTGTGATGTACTGCAATAGCCTCCTCGGTATTATAACCATTGAATATAAAAAGAAAAAAAACGTCTGCTGCTAAAGATTTTTATGTTCGGTCTAACGCGCACGCGGAGTAGAAGGAAAAAATATGGCTCGAAAGAGATAAAAATAGCATGCACCCTTCCCGCCCCCGAACAACAAAGAAAACAAACCCCATGTGTCTTATTACATCTCCCCTGTGCGCACCATCTCCCACGGGATGCCATTTTGTCGTCGTCGAAGTCGAACCTTCATCTTTTTTTCTCTCCTCATTCATTTCTCTTATATTCCGCAGCGATTTTTCCTCCGTTAGCCGCTGCGACTGATCGCTTCTCTATACACGTTATATGCCACACATGCACATACATACGAAAAATCTTCATTGTATACACAATACATTTTATCAACACCACGTTAAAATATAAATATATATGTACACATAACCGACTATATGACGTCATATATACGTTGAAACTATCCAGTGAAATATATATGTTATGGAAAATGTAATTGCGTATATTACACTGTATCAGTCTATCACGTGCTAGTGTATAGTTATTATTCATCCGTGATGATCTTTTATTTTTATCTCGTTGCACATGTAGGTACGCATAATAGTCGTCTGAGATTTTTGAGTTGTGCAATTAAAATTATCAACTTAATGATTGTCTCACCGGCTCTTATAACATAGTGCATCCCCCGGGTCGTTTATTCACATCAGTTATTACGGTAACAACAAGCTGCACATTGTCTCCATAACATTGTTATCGTTTCTTATTATTTTAAATATCATACAGTTGCTTTAAGTTTGTTGAATCTAATTTTGTTGTTTTGTATAAATAGGATTCTAATGGGAAATAGGTGCTTTTTTGGCTTAGGGAGTATGTTTAGCTCAAAAATCTTGTCGACAAAATTAAAAATA